GGGGGGGGGGGGGGGGGGGGGGGGGGGGGGGGGGGGGGGGGGGGGGGGGGGGGGGGGGCAGATACATAGATTCCCCTTTCTCTTCACGAAAAGGAAACTGGGTAGTGTTTCATTCCTTTGTTTCTGTTTTTAGTCAATATAGTTACATGGGTTTAGTCTCTCCTGGCTTATTTAGTTTAGTTTCTCTTTTTTTATGATCCCATTTCTTTTTTTTTCCCCGTCAAAATTATTGCTTTCCATCTCTGCTCCCCCGTTTCTTTTCCAACAACTTTCAATTGTCAAAATTCTTGGCTCGTCTTAATGTACTTACGGTATTAGAAGGTGTTCTTGGTAAATTTGCAAACTTTTGGGGGTATGTTGATGCTAATTGATTATAAACTAATCCTTGGTTTGAAATACGTGCTTAATGTTGGAAATTAGATGTTGAAATGAAATTATGGGTTAGTGGCGATTCTGAGAAATGTGGATTATTCTAGATAGAGTTTCGAATTATGGGCATCCTTTGACGATGAAATGCTGATGTTAAACGTGCAGGATGGGTAGGGTTAAGCTAAAGATTAAGAAATTGGAGAATACAAATGGACGCCAAGCGACCTTTGCCAAGAGGAAACATGGCATCATGAAGAAGGCTAATGAGTTATCAATACTATGTGACATAGACATCATCCTTCTCATGTTCTCACCAACTGGCAAGCCCTCGTTGTGTAAAGGATCAAGCAGGTACTGCCACTCATGCCACGCTTCCACTGCTTTAGAGAATTAATTTGCGCTACTGAACTTTAAACTTGCGTATGAAATTTATATCCATTTCTTGTTTTGCATCTTTTGAGAATTTCATTACATATGCACAAATGCAACTTGACCTCGCTTCGCACCATTTAACCAGTTGGGTTGTCATTATTCATTGTTTAGCTACAATAAGAAGCGGATTGAGAATTGTGGCTTGATTGTCATATGCATGTGCAACCCTCACTATATTTTTGTTTTTTATTTGCGTGTCTGGTTTAAGAAAAAAATGTATATGAAGGTTATGTGGCATCATAATATGGGGTTCTCGACGACATCAACAATTTTGAATAATTTCCTTTTTTTTTTCTCCTTTAGTAGCATTGAAGAAGTAATTACGAAATTCGCTCAGTTAACACCTCAAGAGAGGGCGAAGAGGTATGGTGAAGTTTTCTTGCCTCGTTTTCTTTTAATCTCCTTGTGCCTGCATTGAATATTTACCAAATTGGAATTTATTTGCTCTATTATTTGATTGGAACAGGAAGTTAGAGAGCCTCGAAGTAAGTCCGTGGATCCTCGTTTACAGTCACTCCCCTTCTCTGTTATTAACTCTCATTCTGCTCTTTTTATCACATTGTTTTGTTGAAGATTGTCATTCTTATTGGTTACGTAATTTTTCTTTCCTTCGAGAGGATAGGCACTGAAGAAAACTTTTAAGAAGCTGGACCATGATGTTAATATACCAGAATTTCTGGGTACAAGGTATGCTCTTGTTGATGTTGACACAATTAATTTTTCATAGCTTACAAACTGGCTATGTTCTTTAAACATTATGTACTAAACTTCTTGAATCCTGTTCTTTTTGTTTCAGTTCTCAAACAATAGAGGTATGGGTAACGGTTTCTATTGTTAAATACGACATCTTGAAACCTCCTCTCATATGCTGATGGTTTGTGGCGTTACAAATTTTGCATTTGAATTGACCAGGACCTGACTAGCCAATCTAGACTGCTGCAGAATCAACTATCTGATGTGCATAAGAGACTGAGGTGAACGCCTGCAAATCTATGAATGTAGATTTCCATTTCATGATCTCATGTATACTTTGGTTGGTCACCAACCTGGACTAATAGTAAATTGAGTTTCTGCAGCTACTGGACCAATCCAGATAAGATCAACAGCATAGAGCATTTGGGGCAATTGGAAAATTCACTCAGGGAATCACTTAATCAGATTCGATCGCATAAGGTATGCCTATTCTTGTGGTGTTCATTTGGAGAAACTACACACACACACACACTTTCTGCTTGTTATTCAACAGCTCTTATGTTTTTGATTAAATGATTATATCTCATCTCTGGTCGACTTGGACTCTATGTGATTGAATGCGGGTTCAATTAGGATCTGCATTTTAGCCTATCTATGAGAAAATCCATGACCCTAGTCCTCATTGTGATCTTATGCCTGCTGGGAAGAATTTGGAGATCAGTTGTGTAACATTCCTTTTTTTTTTTCTTAATGGATAGTGAGGAGGGCAAGGAGGCTAAGATGATTTGACATCTCAGTCATTCTTAACCAAATTGGATGGTTGTGTAAAGGGATAAAAAAAACTAAGCAATGCAACCTCCCATTCTGAGTATTCAAGTGTTCTTTAAGTAGTAGAGTGAAACAAAAGCCAGGTGCTGAAAAGTTTTGATTCAATTTAGAGGAAACACTCAGTCAGGCCTTGAAAAAAACAAACTATGAATATCTCTTGATTATCTGTGGCAGTTGTATTTACATTTTAAAACTGAGAGGGTTCCCTCTTTGCCAGGAAAACTTGGGAAAACAGCATCTCATGTCACTAGAATGCCACACTCAGGTAATGAATGGCTTTTATTTGATACAAATGGTTTCCTGATGGCATTGTACTAAATCCTTGCTGGAAGTTGTTACCTAACTAATCTTGCTTGCAGTTTCAAAATGGGATGCATGTGCCTTTCAGAATGGGTGCAGAGCAGCAGCTCTCACCTCTTCTGTGGATACCTAATAATGACAGTCAACATATTATGTTACCAGAGGAACAAAATCTGCTTCCCCATGGGTGAGTGAACCGATTGAAGGAAACTTCTAATCCCATTGCTTAAATTGTTTTCCTATTGGAAGATCATGTCTGGGCTTGCTCTGGCCTCTCACATTCATTTTGTAAAATATTATTGACAAAAGTCCATGCATACACATGGAGAGAAAGAGGGGGAAATGGGTTCATAGTATAGGACTAAACTAGATTTTGTGAAGTATTTTGTTTGATGTAAGATAGGACACGAATAAACACAGAACAGATGACAAATTAACAACGTACCTATCCATAGAGGAATCTATAATAGCCCTTCCTGATGTTGTGTTCTTAAATAATTGATTGAATGTCTTTTTTTAGGGATGCTGAGTGCACTGCAAGCACCTCTTTTGGGAGTTATTCTGGTTACTTTGGTGCAGGAAAACATTCTGAGCTATCTAGTTCTGGTCAAGAAAGTGGTATGAATGGTATTCTTGATGAGTTAAATGGAACTGCATCACTGAGGCTACAGTTGGCTGGACAGTACCCTTACCTGCCAGGGCCATATAATCTGAATTCAATGAACGATACAAAATTTCAACCTGCAGCAGAGATGAACATACAAAAAAGCCCTGGGGATTTTAATGTTGGTGGAAGTTTTGAAGCTCCCAAACCTGAGTATGACTCCGGCCCTCATGGCTGGGCTTCTACTTCAGGATCATGTGCTGTTACTATGTTTGATGATCATTTGTATGCTCAGGTAAGTTTTCCTGGTTTGAATAAGTAGTTCAGTACTTTTTTTCCATACATTTTACATGGGTGGTCATCTATGAGATGATCTGAGCCTTTTTGATTGAGTTAGCAATTACAGGGTTGAGTAAACATGGATGTAGAGCTGTGGATATATATATAAACATCTTTCCATTATTATGTTTACCATGGGAAAAATCATCTGAAATTTTGTAAGATGATGCCTGTTGGTATAATGAATGAGCACTTTTAATTTTTTAAAGTTCATTTATAACATGCAACTAAATTTGCATGAGCTAGAGTATTATTCTCTTGAATGCTTCAGTTAATCTGGAGTATTATCTGCGTATGCAGTGGTTTGAGCATATTACTAGATGATTAGTGTGGTCTTCAACTAGGCTTAAGAGAGAATGATTAAAGTCCTGGACCATTTAATAGAAGATCACAATCTGAAGGTGGTTTTTAATTCATTAGAATCATTGCTGCTTCTTTTGCATATTAGAGTTTTAATAAGACAGCCATGTCTTTTGTCAAAGTAAGAGGCAGAGAATGCTTCAAATTACGTAACTATTTGAGTGATGTTTAGCCTGTCTGTTGCCTAGTTCAATTTAGGATTTGAAAGCCCTTTTCTGTTCCGTAGCTATTCTATGATGATGGTGTTTTAGGGATCCAGGCGTTGGATTTCTGTTCTTGATGATGTATTGCAACTTCGGTAGCTCATTTGAATATTATTATATACTACTTTCGAGTTCTATATTTTCCAGGAAAATACCACATCAACATTACAGAAGCCTTGAATTGAGAGCTAATTTTGTTTAATTAAGATTGCATTTTGTATTCATGGTGGAGATGTTTATCTCGGTAATAAGAGTGGATGTTATTGGAAATTCAATTGTTTCATGAATATTGTTATTGCTGTTGCCTGTTGCACCAGTAACATATACCTTGGTTCAAATTAAGTTGCATCACTAGAACGGACTTCAGATAGATTAAGTTCCCTATTAGTGTGAAAAATTATTGAATCTATATAGGAGTTGCCAGACAGCTATGGTCAAAATATTAGTTGCTCCAGATCAGAGAGGCATTGCTTGTTTGTATGAATTGCTCTTGCACTACCTTTCATTTAGCTAGCAATGCAGACTGTAGAATCTGTAGCTAAAAGGTGGTAGGAGAGGAATCTATTGGAAAACCGCAACATGAATGTCATAATTCTTTGGGCACCACTATTCGTTGGAGTGCTTGGTCTTGGAGTTGATACTGATTGCAAAATTTTGATGCTCTTATTCTTCTCGGGTTTCTGTTATGATTTCATAAGAACCGCTGATTTAGTGTTTTTAATTATTGTGAGATATCGTTTTATAGCAGAGATTGTAGATTATAAGGTCCTCTTTGAATCACCTATATCATACTGTTTTATCTTCTTGTTGTATATTGTTATTGTCCAACATACTGCAAAATTGAAACCCGTTTATTTTTTGCAGCAACCACACTGAGATTGAGTTTTACTTACTGTTCAGCTGGTGTTCAGTTGCTGGACAGCTTGGTCAGGTTTGTGAAATTACCTGTCCTCCAGATGACACTGTTGGGATTTACTGTATAGGTTTTAAGCTATGCAATGGCGAAGAGAAGCCAGAGAAATACATATATCTATACAGCTCGACAACAGCATAGGAATTCACTGATGTTGGTAACTCGTTAGGAAGAGTGGTGCTGATTCCATCAAGTGAGACACCATTTACAATCTTCTGTATACAAGCTGTAGGTTTTACTGAAGTTACTATACTTCCCCGGCCTAAACTCTGGTGACAGGGTCACGGAGGGCAGGCGGGCTACTGCCCTCCATCCTGCGTTAGGGTGCCATGGGCTGTGTATTAAAACCAATACAGCACAGGTTGTCTTTTTATTTTTTTTATTTTTCCAAGGAAAGCAATGCTTGCAATTTAAAACCACTTTTGTGAATCGAGTTCTGTAAGCAGTTTGATACCAATTTTTATTCGTAAATATTCTGATATTGATTTTCCTGAAACATCTTATGGTGCTCACAGCATCCTATTATTTAGACTCGCATGGGGAAAAAAGAGAGGATATAATATAATGGGTTCTATTACCCCTCTGACGTTTCATTTGTTTATCAACAAGATCTTGTTCATCTCCGTTGGTTTTGCTATTGTGAACGTCAATTTCCCTTTAAAATAAAGGATAGTTTCTTAATTATTTTCTTGAAATCATTTTCATGCAGAACATTTGAAAATTTTCTGTATGATTTTATTTTGAAAGCAAATTCGCCTTCAAATAAATATATATATATATAAAATAAACTTGAAATTTGGTTAAAAAATTAAAATTAAAATCCAATTTCACCAGATATTTCTGAAGAAATAATTATCAATTAGCTTCCCAGATAAAGTTTTCAAGTTATTATACTACCAAAGACTTTCTTTAATCATGTCAAACATTTAACGAACGTCGGGCGGTGATGGTAGTGGGGCGGAACGTGCAGCTTATTTTGCAACGGTGCGGCGGTGGTGACAAACCTTTTTCGTTTTTTTACTCCCCTCTCCTTTTCTCGCTGCTACTTCCGCCGCACCTTTCAAAATTATCATCACCTAGTTTATATTTATTTTAATTTTAATATTTTATTTTTATTTTTATTATTATTATTATATGTATTGATTTTAATATTTTATTTTATTTTATTATTTAATTTGATTTTTATTTATTTAATTATTATTTTCTTAATTTATTTATTTTTAGTTTTATCCTTCAATATTTTATTTAATTTAATTTTTATATCTAATTTAGGTCTTTATTTTTTTATCCTTTTTTTAATTTATTTTGCTCTTCAATTTAATTTCTAATTGTTTTTTTCATTTGATTTTTATACTAAATTTAATTTTTATTGTTTTGATTATTTTATATTTGCTTTTTAACTTTTTATAATTGAGAATTTTGCTCCGTTATTTTTATATCAGCCTACAAGTTAATCGCGGTATTATGATTCGGGTTATTAGTTTTAAATATTAGCTTGATTTAAATTTAGATTTTTTTTTTATAGGTTGAATTTTTATTCAATTTTATTATTTAATATTGATGTATTATGTTTTAAGCTTCGTAATTTACTTTAATTTTTTTATTAAATTATATTAGTTTTATATCTTTGATAATAAATTAATCAGTTTAATATATGTTAACTCAAATTTTTATTTTTAATATTTTTTATTTGAAATTGATTTTTTTTTATCTTTAATTATTTGTAGACCCGTAAACTTCACGATTCTTTTTCAATTTTTGTATTAGATTTAATTTTAATTGTTTTGATTATTTTATATTTGCTTTTTAACTTTTTATAATTGAGAATTTTGCTCCGTTATTTTTATATCAGCCTACAAGTTAATCGCGGTATTATGATTCGGGTTATTAGTTTTAAATATTAGCTTGATTTAAATTTAGATTTTTTTTTTATAGGTTGAATTTTTATTCAATTTTATTATTTAATATTGATGTATTATGTTTTAAGCTTCGTAATTTACTTTAATTTTTTTATTAAATTATATTAGTTTTATATCTTTGATAATAAATTAATCAGTTTAATATATGTTAACTCAAATTTTTATTTTTAATATTTTTTATTTGAAATTGATTTTTTTTTATCTTTAATTATTTGTAGACCCGTAAACTTCACGATTCTTTTTCTTTCTTTTTCACAGGGCTGTCGCGGTCGGGCTAGTCAAGAAAAGGACCAGAGCCGTGTAATTGGGAAAACCACATCAATGCTTAAAATGTTTCGAGTGCAAGCAAAACAATAAAGTAAATTCTGCAATCAAAATCATGTGAAGAGAGCCATTCTCTAAGCACCTCGCACGTAAAACAACCTGACAACCTAACCACTGCATCGAGGTGAAAATGTACTTAATAAATGTGGGCTCAGCTCCGCCAGATTTTGATATGCGATTGCGAGATGTGATATGATGAGATTGAAGTGCTCAGAAAGTCGAATCTACACCGTCCCGAACCATTATATAGGGTCCAAGTGGAGATTTTGTTTGGTCTGATGAGGCCCCATGGCATCTTGCAGTTTTAGATTTTTCATGATTTTTATCGCCGCAGCTGCATTTTGTCAAAGAGAAGATCATGACCAGAGAAGAAGAAGAAGAAGAAGGCACACAACGCCGCATGCAAGTGTAATGATCCTAACCGCTAACAGCTTATTCCAGGATGTCGAAATTTCGGACCAATCGGAAAATGTGTGAAGTTTTACATTTATGCGACCACATGCACATGTCCGATCAATTCTCTTCTTGTTGTTTTATGAATCACTTGTCTGTGTAATTGCCTTTTCTCAGTTCATGCATCACAGGTGATGGGCGGATTAAAGAATATATTTTTTTAATATCAAAAAATATCCCAGATCAATTTATACGTTTCTAACTAAGAATATATTTATATATTATTAAAAAATAATATAAAATATATTTTAAAACCTCACCTAAAAATTTAAATTATTAAGTGAGATTTCAAGATATAATTTATATTATTTTTTAACAATATAGTATTAAAACCTTAATAATCAAATAGTTATAAATTCGAATCTTACTATTTTTATTTATTTAATAAAAATTAAGCATAATATAATGTGAATTTATGTAAATTTTAAATTTAAAAAGTTTTCATTTAAAAAAATATATTATAAAGTAATATAAATTATTTTATAACATTTTATCTAATAATTTAAATTTTTATGTTGAGGTGATTATTTCATATATATATATATATATATATATATATAGAGAGAGAGAGAGAGAAAGAGAGAGAGAGAGAGCATGTGAAGTTATTATTATAAATATTTAATCAAATGTCCTGGTTAGTTCCACAGTAAAATTAATTGATATTGACATTTGTTAAAATTCTTTTATCCTATATTAATTCATAATTTTGTATGCTAATTAGCCCATTTATCTTTAGAAAAAGGGTCTGGCAGATATTTTTTATTGTCGTGTTATTTCGAATTTTCGATGGCTCACAATTACACGTACGGGAGAGGAATACACGACGAGTCACATGGACTGAGCTAAAATTGTAGGGGGGAAAAAATTGTGCATGTGTTGCTGCAAGACACGTAAGGCCTTGGTGGAGATGTTAAAGACGAAGACGATTAAAAAAAAATAAAATAAAAGCCATTAGTGTTTTACGATACATTACATTGTTAATTGGAATTCTCTAATTATACTTTTGCCTTTCTCATTAAAATTCATAAAGCTTGTATATTTTCAAAGGAATATGTTGAATATTACAAGGTTAATTAAGGATGGATTAGTTAGAATATTTTTTTAGCAAATTTAATTATTATGTTGCCTGTCTTCAGTCAAGGGCTTTTTTATCTTTTGAAAATTACTTATATAATAAAATTACTGTATTAATTTTAGTTCATGTTTATTTAATTATTATTTATTTTATTTTTATTATCTTTTTAATTTAAGATTTTTTTTCATTTTATTATTGAAAATTTTATTTAATTTATCTTTTAATGTATTTTCTAGGTTCTTATTTTTTAAATAATTTTTTATGTTAAAATTTATAATAATTATATTTTTTATTTTTAAAAAATTATTTTTAATATTAGTAAATTAAAAAATTAAAACTTTTTAATTTTTTTTTCAGAAAAAGCATAAATAAACAGGCCTTTAAAAGGTTATCTTGTGCATCGTTTAGGCACCACGTAAGTAGTTCCGTCGTGGATGGCGACACACCGTAGATTGCTAAGAAAAAGTGGTGATGTGTCAGAAAACCTGACTCAGACAAACTACTTTTTAGTTCATGTATTCGTGTCCAAGAGTTTCTCTGTTTTTTTTTCAACTTGTACTGTTTAAAATATTCAATTAAGGGAAGGCTAGTTTATAAGCCCAGCGCGTCCAATCAATATTTTTTTTAATATAACAGAAAAAAATTGAAGACAGGAGATAATTACTTGGTATTTATTTTTATTAATCTGTTACAGTGAATTAATCTTAAAATTTTTTATTTAGTTTAAATTAAAATTAAATTGTATATGAAAAAAATGACTGGATTGAAAAAAAAATTCAACAGTAAAACTCCATAAACATTTTCAAGTTTTTTAAGTATAACAGGATGATGTGATTAGTTTATTAGCTCTATTTAATTTCGCTAAATGTAATTTAATTCATCTCAGTTGATAATGTCGGTTAATTTACCTTGAAGTATCATTAAGCTTATGCTACGCTTGAAGATGCACTCGTAAAGATATTTGGACACGTTTACAACTAAACTTTAATCAACGATAAATTAAGAAATTATTCAATATATTAAAAGTTGTGTTTTTTTTTTTTCTTATTAAGATAAGACACTTACTTATTTTTAATTGTGATTATAGTTTATACGAGAGAGAGCAAAACTTTTAATATATTTAATAAATTATACTTTGATAAAACTGTATTCTGCTGATTTATGAGAGCAAAACTTTTTAATATATTTAATAAATTATATTTTGATAAAACTGTATTCTGCTGATTTATGCTAAATTTTTAGCTTAAAATAATTGATATATATTAATTATTTTTATAAAAATTTCATATTTTTTATCTATCCAAGATTTTCAAACAACATTATTAATCGGAAATGCACCGGATTTGACTGGATGTGATCAAGAAAAATGGTTCTACTATAATAATTAATTGCGTGTTTTTATATTGTGATAGTTTGTATGATTGAGATAAGTTTAATAAAATATAATTAAAAGATGTTTGATTAAGATTGTTATTGATAACAAAATAACTAAAAAGTATATGTATTTTATAATGTTAAATTATATAGGTATATGATTATTAATACATCAAAAAATAAAAATATATAGGAAAACAATATCAAGATCCGTTTGGACCATGGACTAAATTTTGACAATAATATAAAAACATAGACAAATACATAGCAAGAATGAAGAAATATGTACATATATATATATATAAAAAAAACAACACTGAATCAAAACATTAAGTTTGCGTAAGCATTGTAATATGCTCAAGCATGGGTTGGGTTTGAACTTTGAAATCGTGACATTTTAATGCAAGAATGAGCATGGGTTGGGTTTGAAATCGTGACATTTTAATGCAAGAAGATGAGGTTATTTTTGTCAAGCCATGACTTTATTAATACTAAAAAAGTGGATTTGTTCTTAGAAATGCTGGACAGAGTGATGAGAAACAGTAATTTATACTTTTAGCAAAACATGTGGTTGACCTTAATTTTTTAGTAGGATTAAATTCTTAACCAAATAAGTACAAATTAGGTTGGGGTGAAACACAACCCCAACTACAATACCAAACAAACCCAATTGTGATTTGTTCTGGTTACAGTATAAACAGGTTGCCTACTCAAGACAGAGCACCACTTATAGAACGTGGGGCCAACGTTAAAAAAAAACAGGACAAGCAAAAATAAAAAAGAGCAAAAGAAAACAAGAGCACGAAACATGTGTTTCCTGTTAAATAAGCTTTAAACTGAAGCGACAATCACAAGAATTTTCAGATTTTTAAGGCTAAAACGTCGAGTTTTTTAAAGTTTGCGGATGCCATTGTTAATCCATGTATGTTTTCCAAGGACCTCCACGGGCACTAGTTGTTCGTATTTTGGTTACTTAACACGTCGTAATTTTATATGTATTCTACTTAAAATATCTTTCTTTAATTTTTTTTAAAAAAATTAAAATTATTTTCAAAACTTTAACATTTTAAATTAAAATTATTTTCAAAACTTTAACAAAAACAAACTATCATAGTACCAAATAAACACTATCCAAGAGGGACCTCCTTTTTATTGAGGCAAAAATCAAGCAATCGCTAATTTCACAGAATTGCTAGAAATAAACGAACACGAACTTTCGGGGAAACTTCAGTGGTGCTTAGCTACATCCATTATTTTGTCTCAAATATTCCCATCCTTGGTTCTCTCTTCTCACGGTTTGCTTTCAGAGTTCAAATGTGAATGAAATATACCTAACTCTTTCGTGTGTTTTGTCTGGTAGCTGAAACTAACAAAACCTGATTACCTTTCAGGATCTGAATGCAATGGCCACCCATTCATTTATCACCTTCAGGATTCTTTTGGACCGCCAACTCGATCCATTTTATCAGTACCAAACCTTCCAGTCTAGGGGGTTAATTCACGCGGGATATTTTTCTCCAAAAGAGGGGGGGAAGGAAAGAAGAAAAATATATTTATCTAATGTAACAACAAACATATCTGATCTCTGTTTGTCATGTTCTCTGACAGTATTCATGTGACTGAACATGGTGAATCTTGAGGAAATCCTCCCAGAAAGAGATTTGAAGACAAGGGACAAGCAGCGGAGACATTGATATGAAATGTCTTCTCTCCATTTTACTCGAGTCCAGACACCAGGCACTGTCAAACAACATGCAAATGACAAGTACTGTTGGATTCATCCAAGAGAAAGAAAGAAGGAAAATAAAAGTTAAAAGGCTGCTGCGGAGTGAATTCGGACATTCATTTCTAACACGAGAAATGAGGATGAATTTAACAAGTGGAAATTAGAAATATACAAGGCAGAGTACACGGGCCTGGTGGGGTAAAACTTGAAAGATTCTCATCTACAATTAAATGCAAGTCACCATCTATCTAGTATATGCAAACAAAAAACTAAATCAAGTGCGAGAAGAGAAGACAAATCAAATCTTGTAATCTTAACCTCCACCTAGTGTTTTTGAAAGATCGGTGACAACCGAAATATTTCCTCTGTTTTTTTTTAATTTAAAAAAAAAAAAAAAAGAAATCTACATTGCCCCAGAGTCGTATCACACCAGTGTTAGTTGAAATTAAATTTGAATGGTTAAATCTGCCACACACACGAAGATCATTGCATTTCGATTATATAATATCGGATGGGAATTTCCAACGTTTGTGGCACCCGTTAACCAGAGCATCTAATGTCAAGCCTCGAGTTAACCATCTCTACTACAGCTGGTCTCACACATCCAACTTCTGGGAAAGAGACTAGCTAGCCTTTAGCTTTGGATGGCTGGCCTAAGCACGCTCTTTCCTTAGCCATCAAAATTCAAAACTCTAACCAGTGAAGGAAGAGTCTCTTGGATGATTTGTCTTCAATTAAGATAGGAAAGTTGACGTACGGGTGGGTGAAAACCGATGAGCTTGCCTAACAGGCACGAGAAAGAGAGAAACAACTAAAATTTGTTCGGAAAATAAAAAACACAATTTAAAAGTTTTTCATATTTTTTCACCTTTTTTCAAATAAATAAAACACTGCAATATTGTTTTAAAAATTTTAATATTTAGTCAGTGTCATAAATCTAAGTTCTATTGTAAATATAATATCAAAATCTCCTTCTGTTTAGTTAATAATTTAATATTTTTCATTATAATTTTTAAATTGAATAAAAAAATTAATATTTTATAATTAGATTATTACAAATACATAAGTATCCAGACAATTATAATAAATCATATTTTTATTTTTTATGAAAAACAGCTGTAATTTTGACGATAGAATTCCTTTTCATTCTCAACAGAGAAATTAGCGCGTTTTTGAAGTTCTTTCACTGAAAAAAAATGTTTTTTTAAGTAAATAACAGACAAAGAACAGAAAAGGACAAGTAAAAAATAGTTTTCCATGAAAGTATTAAAAAGGAGACAAAGAACAGGATGGGTGAATAAGCAAGGGTAGAGCCCTCAAGCGAAGTTGGGCTATACAGGATTCGGCTCGGATCGGTCGAAAGCCATAAATGGCCTACTTTGGAACTCGCGAATAACCCATTACAGGCCTCCGAGTGGCCCAGCTAGCTGCCACTTAATTCAGTCACAACTTTCCCCGTTTCTCAAACGAGTACTCCGTGTTATTTGTACAAATGAAAAATGATATTTATTGGTAACATGGCAGACGAGAAGATGAGGGACAGCAAAAGATAATAGAATACATAGCACTCAGCGACTACTTTCATTATCACTAGTAGCAATCGGAAATTTACAACTTAGTCTCAAACAATTCAGACTCAAGAAACAAGGACATAATTCAGCGGAAGCTGATTGATTACAATATTATATATAAATATATATAGATAAAATAAAAAAAAGGCCTCCAAGACCCAGCAAGGCTGTGGAGGCCCAAAAAAAAACGAGCGGCGGGGGGTAAAGACCACCTCTGCCATGATCTTCTGCCCCTTTAACAACAGAAGAAAAGATGGCTAAACCCGGACACTGATAGCGTGTCCCCTGAATAAAACACCCTAGAGTATCTCAATTAGCTCAAAATGAGTAGCGAGCCATTTAAAATAAGCCCTTCTCATCTTGACCCAAGAGGCCAAAGACTGACCTGACCTCCAGCTGAGACACGAGTATATATTAGTATTACTAAAATCATACTAATACTACTTCTGTAGCTAACTATTGAATATAGACCTAACATGCTGCAAACTTTAGTATGGTGAGAGGACGGGGGCCACCGAGGCAAGTGTGGTCCCTAACGAAACTGGGCGCCGGAGAAGGTCTGCCCAAAGGACCAGCTAGAAGGAGCCACATTGTAGGAGACCACAGTTCGGCCATCACTGGTGGTGACCTTAAAGGAAAGACTTTGTCCATTGAGATAATTGTTGCTCTGCCAATTTTGCCCCCAGTTCCTTGACATTGGTTGCCAACCAGTCCTGGACCCCTTGATGGACACAGAATGTACATCACCGGCACCACCAACGTTAGTGATCAGGACAAGATTGAAGTAAGAGTGGCCATTGATTGTGAACCTTATGCCTCCTCTCCTCCTGCAGGGTACCCTACAAAGAACCACCACCAAGACAATTACTAACACTCACCACCAGAGCCAGAAATGAGAGGTCTTAGCTAAGGACATGGCAAAAGGACAATTCGTTCCATGCCCAAGAAAGGAAAAATTACAGGCAGCAGGGAAGGGCAAACTTGTAAGAGGAGATTGGACTTTTTATTTTTTTACAGTTCGTGGTAAAAATGATAAACCTTATTTTTTGTTTTTGTTAAAAAGTATTCCCTTTCGGCATTTACACCTCAGTTTTTACTCTATAAAAAACTAGATCAAGAATGCCATGTTTTGACATGTTGAGAGTGACAGGTTGACTGCGGTAAAACTAGAGTTGTGAAGGTAGTAGCCTGCAAGTTTAGGAGGGCAGTTGTTGGAACATATTTTTTCTATTTTTTTTTTAAAGTTTCATATTAATAACTTTTAAGTGTTTTATAATTAATTTGAACTGAGAATAAAAATATAAAGTACGTGAAAAGACTGGTTAAAGACCTAGATAACCCTCACTGGCAGCTTAATTAAGGGAAAAGTGAGACTAAATCATTAAACACCACATCTTAGCCAAAATTTTCCTTCAAATGGTCTGAATGGGACGCTCAAGAAGACAGGGAGACATACCTTCTGTAAGACACAGGCACAATTCCTGCTCTGTATTGGGCAATGTGTTGGAAGACAGGCTGGGAGAGATCAAAATGGTGTTGAGGAGGATTACACCAGCCCCCTGCATTGTTAGGCAGGGCATTGTTCGGAGGGCAGAAATTGGTGGCGGTGATCACAATGGAGCCAGGCAGGCACCATTTGGGATCATTCACACACCTGATCTCATAGCAAGATCCACAGCTTAACCCGTTGTTGAACAGAGCTGTGCTCAAAGCTGCAGTATTAGTACCATACCCCTGGCTGTACAAGTTCCCATAACCGCAAGCCCCACCTGAAATTACATATTGTTATGCAAATTAGTCAAACGGGCGCGCCTGGCTAAAAGAGTTTAATTTCTTTAAAAGGTTCTTTTCTGCAAAACGGCCATACCCATTGTGCCAGAAGCATCACCACCTCCGTAGAATGTTGCATGAGCATTAATCCAGCCTCCACCACCATAACCATTAACAGATGAAACCATTGCAAGGAAACCCACCAAGAAAATCCCAGCTAGAGCCATTTTCCTGCACAGAGAGGTGAACCATTTTAGTTTTATTTTAAAAACCCACCGAGCTCGCATTTTTTTGTTTGGTTCATTTAACAAAAGAAACAACATATAGAAGAGCAAATGTGAGAGAAGATAGACAGAACTCTTACGAGAAGATTGAGACTTGGGAGGAGAGAAAAGGAGAGTGCAAGATAAGAGAAATGTGAAGCTGTTGAGTGAAGAAAGTTGGGAGGGGATGAGGTGGAATTTATAGAGCTCTGTCGGGGGGTGCTTGGGGGAACTATTTTGGGCCACCACCGTCAATGGTGCTTGGGATTTTAAAGTTTATTTTTAATATTAACACATAAAATAATTTATATATATATATAAAAAAAAATTAAAATCAAAGTCTTTAAAAGGCACTGCTCCACGGCAGCGCCAAAAACCCCCCATTAGTCACGTAAACACACCCTTGAAGAAAGTGGCAGGGGGGACCATAAACCGCTAGGGCATGAATAAATAGCAGCTTTGTAATTGTGGAAAAACAGGAGCACATGTGAGCTTTGAACAAAAAAAAAAAAAAACATTGTTTTGTGGCAAAACCCTGTGGTTTTGTTGCTCCCTAAAATCCAAGTGGGGTATAGGCGGTTGCTGAGCAACAAACTTACGTGGCCACGTGCAAACAACTCCCATTTGTCGCAAATACCCTTTATCCCCTCTCCTGTTCTTTTTCTAACAACCATACTTTTTTTAGACTTACCAATTTCCCAACCCCTTCATTTTAATTAGGAGTGAGCTGATGATATCCTTACACCACTGGCTATTAATCCTTTTACTTCATAGACAATAAATTTTAAATTATTAAAAAATACAAAGACGTTATTTTATCTTGTCTAATAATAAAAAAATATTTTATTTATTTTAAAATTTATGCAAAGTAAAACATAACTCACAGATTTAAATTTTGTTGATATCAGAGGTAAAAAAGTATTTTTGTTGTCCACAAAATCTTTGAAGACAATAATACCTATACTTAATTTTTTAATAACCACTAGAACTACATAAAAAGATTAAAATACCATTTTCATCCGCTGAGCCAATTTATTTATTTAATACTAAATCTATTTTGGTGACCGAATTAAATTCTTGTTTTGACTAGCACGTACGAGTCCTGTTTTTTCCTACTCTTCATTCAGAACAATTCATTAATTAATTCACAGCTGTGAGATGGAAGCCGGCCTCTGCTTTAGAGTGGTGTGGGTCCCAGGTGTTAAGGATAGTTCAAATACAACTGAACAAGCACAAGCTGGTTAGAGAAGAACCAGGAGAACTTTACCAAACATGAAACGGATAGAGGGAATTTTAGAGCCTGGTTGCAGCACGTGTATGGCGATTGATAAATCATTTTTTCTAGCTTCCTTGCCGTCGTTTTTTAATTGACCTTGTTCCATGATCTTTCTTATAGCATGTAGTTCCATATCCAGTGGATATATCTATGTATAGAACACACAAGTCAGCAAACTCTGTACGTGCTGCTGAGAGTTTCCTTCCCATCAATGGAGATATCATGAAATAACCAGAGATTTCGGTGGCAAAGCTCACATGCGGATGGTACAAAAACTCTGCAACAGCTGTGAGTTTAATTTGATGCCAGCCATCTCAGCATGGGAGGGCCACTGAGCTGGATCAACTGTTTGCTCTGTGTCTTGTTGCTTATAAGTTAATCAACAGGCGCTGCAAGCTTGGATTCTGATACTGATTGACGAAATCAGAGGACCGCGATTCTCGGTATTAGCTTGTCTAATTATAATCGGACTAATTAATTAAAATGTAATTAACAATTATAGTGTAAGTACGTTGACGCCGATGAAAAGACGGTCCAAGGGGTTTGCTTGGAATAAAAGATTTGTTTTCCGTGTGGTTTTATATTTCTGAAGTTGCCAATGTTGATTGCTACTAAAAATTTATCTAGTTATTAATATTAAGTTGTTAATTTTAAAATTTATAAAAAATAATCAAGATATATATAAATTAATTTAGATAATACACATAAATAATAATTAAAAAAAACTTCATGCAGATAACATATAAATGGATGCTAGTGGATGTTCTTGATCCTTCCACCGAAGTTTTATCCTCCTCCTAAATTTGAAACAGACAATCTAACCCTAAAATGAAATGTTCTTGACAATGTTTACACCGTTATGGATTCTGGAAGTTTTTGTTTTTCTATCAGGATGATCCTCATTGTTACATGACAATGTTTACACCATTATGGATTCTGGGAGTTTTTTTTTTTTTTTCTATCAGGATGATCCTCATTGTTAGAAATAATACTTTTGGAAGTTTTTTTGCTCGTCCATTTCCTTCCACCGTCCTCTCCCACCTTTTTACTAAAAGAGAAAATACCAGTGTTTTAAAAGGAGATTTCACATTGGAACCGGAATTACTACTATGGGGAAAAGCTTTGTTACATGCAAAACATCTTCCAAGTAATTAACACACTGGTATTAATTATCGGTTGATAATATCACTATCAAAGTGTATTATTAGTTCATCCGGGTAAACTCGGGTGGTAAAAAGAACGAAACCCAGATTGATATACTGTGTTCGAGCCCTGGTGGACAGGGAGGTGGGGAGTCTTAGTTGCTACTAGCATTCCTTCCTGCGTCAAAGTTAAAAAGAGAGCTCTGAATAGGTATGGGCTGACCAGCCCAGATTTCAAGCGAAGCACGTGGCAGGCTAGCACCTAGAGGTTAAATCATGCACGTATCAAGAGAAGAGAAAGATCGACCCTGGGAAGGTAGGGGGCGAGTCTTCTATGAAGGCCGCTATGTTTGAAATGTGGTCAAATTAAGAAAACGGGCAATACCAAAACCTTTGAAATAACTTCTTGTTATCTGTTATAGTTTCTAGCCATGCGAAGGTAAAAGGACATTCGTGGTCACAACAATTTTAAAGTAGGAGGAGGCTATCTCAATTTGCCTGCTGAAAACGATACAAGGGTTTGGATTAACGGCGTAGCAGCGTCACATGCTATCCTTTTGGCTCTTTCTTTTTCTCAATATACAAAATCCAATTTGGCTTCTGCTACCAGAATATTTTATCTTTTTTATTTTTTTATCATTTTTTTTTTGTTGTTGGATGATAGCTTCTTTGGACTTCGAGTTCCGTTTTATCTCTTTAGTCGTGTCCCTTTCTCCTGGGCTTTGTTGACATGGAAGAAACGAGCCGTGCTGCTTAGATTTCAGGATGGTTTTTCCTTTTCTTTTCAAAGAACAGCTCAGAATTGTTTTCACCTGAAGACATATCAAGATATGATGTTTACATTTACAGCTTTCGGCTTTGTATCGAGTTACTGTTCTGGCCCCACTTGTATTTACACCTGTTATCTGTCTGAGCAAGTGGTAGTAAAATAAGATATGATCAGGTTTGTATTTCAGCACTTGCTATTTATTTTTCAGAAAAATCAATATCTGACTCTGATAACCAAGATAATGGTTAAGTAATTAATATTGATTCGCCAATAAAAAAAGCGAAGTAACAATGTTTAATCTGTCAATTAGGAGCTAGCTCCTTTCCATTGCAGGGATAATTTAGGTTTCCCTGGCTGTTTGTGTACAAAATAATTTTTGCGAGGCCAAACATTCATTTAAAATGATAATTATAATCGGAAATTAAAATAATCAATCCAGAAGGAGAGGTTGACCCTGGCTGCCACGCTTTCTTTTCTTTTTTTTTCAAGGGTTACCGCCCACCATATATGACAAGCACTGAACTATAACTGCCAATAACCAACTTGTCGTTTGAAAATGTCCAAATTCATTCTCTCTCGTTTGCTTTTATGTTTTGTCTGCAGCCTCACAGTTTTGATCTAGACCGCTTATCTTCTGGGAAACTTTACCCACCGCTGCATATCCCATGTTGATTCCACGTTAGATTTTTTGGCTTTATATTTCGTCACATTTCCCCTGTTGCTAAGGATCCAAGCGTTCTATCCCCAGGATTTTGATGCCTTCAGCAACTACAAGTCAAATGGGAAAACATCATTGCTCTTTCTGACTCGCTGAACACATCCCCATCCCTGGTTTTTCTTGCTTTGCATGATGCAGTGTAAGGTATTTTGTTTTTGTATTTTGAAAAAATTAAATTTTTTTAATTTTTTTATTCAAATTAATATTTTAAAAAATAAAAAAATATTATTTTAATATATTTCCAAATAAAAATAACTTTTGAAACCTAAATATCGGTAAACAACTTTAAACTTGATTTCCATGTTGGTGTTGGTGACCCTTTATCTTCTTGCCTTTTGTTTGTTATCTTCAAAGTGAAACCGGCCAGTCATTAAATTGTTCTTCGTCAAAGTTTACTTGCAGATGGGAAAGTACGATTATCTCAGGCATGTTAAGTCCGCTTCAGCTTTCAGACAGTGCCTTTCCTTTTCTTTCCCAGCGTCGATAACTGTACGGGATATATCTTCAAGATCTGCAGATTTTAAAGAAAAATATTAAAATCGACTGGGCATTTTAAATGGGCAATTTTATCCGTCAATGATTTCTTTTTTCCCTGGCAGGCATATAATATAGAGCTTTTGCTGTGAAACAGGATGCCATGAGGGAGGCCATGCATGAAAAATTAAAGAACTGTCCCATCTTTATTAATTTGTTGGGAAATCTTAGTGCTTTTATTCCTGTTCTAACCCGTCGTGTGCTTAATCATACCTCCAATTATCTTGTGATTTCTAAACCCAGCACCAAGATCTCCCTAGTTGTCCCCATCCTTCTTTCTCTGTCCCTCCCCATGTGCTATGCTGTTAAAGAAAAAAGTAGTCATCATATAGCTAATCATTCTTGTTACGACTCCTAAACCCAGAAATAAAATCTTGCCAATTACATAGCAACAAGTTGACTACTCACGGTGAGATTCTTATCGAGTAAAAACGAAACTGAGGATGTCGATGTCGATTTCGATTTCGAGTGTTGTCTTGTCATTTTTTTTTAAGAAAAAAAAATTGCCTTGTCACTGTTGATCAATTTATGGCTTCACGATTTCTTTGCCCCAAAGTTTGCCCGACGCTTATTTATCTGCGCCAGCGTCCTGGCGCGTGGGCCGCAATCTCTACAGTGAATTAGAAGGCTGGTGTGTTTCCCATAACTGTTAGTTGCAGGATCAGACACGGACAATAAAAATTATATCAATTTTTTTTTATTTTACTTCATCATTTAAAAAATTACATTTTAAAATGAAAATGAACAAGCTAGCTGATATAGTATAAAAAAA